TTTAAATAGTAATAATTATAAATTGAAACCAGGTGAATATTAGGTCCAGAATAGGTAGTCACTAACATATAAATTAGGAATTGAAATATTATTTCAAACTAACACACTACTGGGAATTCATTTATTGAAGCTCATTTGATTACCTCTATTATCTAAGATATCTAAGATGTAAAAATTCAGTCTTTATCATCATAATGCTACCTTGATTAGCGAGACACGCTTCGAGAGACAGTGTGTCAACTCTGGTGTGGAAAAAGTATTTTTTTTAGATTATTCTTCCGTTGTTGCTGAAAACTTGGTGTCCTTGAATTTGATGAGGTTTATCATTCAGGACATGTTGAGACTGTACTGATTTTTGTGTCCATTTCTTTAACGATGTTTCATGGTTCTAAAGTACATACTTCTATACTCTGCTCATCTAAGCAAAATAGTGTTCCTAAAACAAATTGTCGGTAGTGAAATGGGTTTATCACCATAATAGTATTAATGTTCTGAAAAATTGTTCAGATGAGACGGCCCCAAAGCAAGAGAAGATGGAAATATAAGGAGTGCTGGTGGAATGAAATAGTAAGAAATGTTATTCCAACCAGGGACAGCAACTATAAGCTATATAGAATGTCGAATGAAGACGATGATGGAGAAGAATATAGAAGAGCTAGAAATGATGTGGTGAACATTATTAGAGAACAGAAGCGAATATATTATTAGAACAAATTTGACAACTGTAAGGGAGATCCAAAGCAAACTTTTGCTTTCAACGAATGGAAAATCTAACAATATTACTAAACAAGATCGATGATGAGGAAGAACTTGACGACATTGAATTAATTCCAGACAGGCGTTGAAACCACTCCAACCCTGTAGCGATATACCTGAATGAATTCCGATTGCAATCAAATCTGTTTGGGTTTGGCCTGCGTAAAGAGGCCGGTTTATTTTACCCAATAGATGCAAATGTTCGTGGTGATCATGCTTTAATCACGCTTAGATCACGCATCTATCATTGTTTGGGTTACTTTTTTGTTGGATAGACAGAGTTTACAAAAGCAGAGTAGGTGATAAACAAGCCGACTAGAGTCGAAGGATCCCTTCTAGACTTAAAATTGTTTTGATTTTTTATCCTTGAAAAACACTCTTTTGTGTAATTTCTGTCATTATTTTTGCTTGCATTTCATTTCAAATGAACCCCTGATGAAATATCGAAATAATCCAAATCGTAATTTAACCCTGCTCCTGTACAAATTTGGAATCGATATAACTCAAAGTATTTGAAAAAGAGTTTTTATGTGTAATAATTGTTATTCCAATTAATCAAGTTGAAACAAACAGGAACATTGATGGTTTGTTACTGTATATTTGAAGCGTCATTACTAGTATTATTTGTTTTTGTTTGTCTGGAGAAGTCTCATCAGTAAAAATTCTTAAATGCAATATTAAGATTTCAAATGATTTATTTGAAAAATAAATAACTCAAATTGAAAAGTTGCCCGCCATTGAACCATTAGGAGTGGCTTCAGTTGGTTCAATGCACCCGATCTTCACATTGTTCAGTTTTTTATAAGATTATAATACATTTTCAGATATAACTTTCTGCTCATAATGGCTCCCATCAAGTATTTGAAGGCAGACAAGTGATGATTAGCATGTAAATGAGTATATTATAACAAAATATAATTGAAAAATGCTTTCAAGCAAATTTTGATGGCAGATAATCCTTTTTTACGTTCACGGGCGTGGAAAAAACAATCTGAACAGGCAATAGTGAAAATTTAGTCGAAAATGTAGGTTTAGTTACTGAAAAGTCCATTTCAATAGATATTTCAAGAGAAAAATATGTTAAAGTGTGTTGAATTTTGAAAAACCGGTAGTAGTTTTAACAAGGAGGCAATTGTTTCCAATAAGCGAGTATTCATTTTAGAATATGTCAATGATTTTTTGTAGTTCTTTGGCACCCCAAAGTGTGACCCGTTTCCCAACCGGAAAAAACTGAATATTTTTCCCTAACGAACGTCACTGATCTCAGGTGCATTCCAACAGTTGTTTAAGTAAGTCAAATGCAAACACACTTCACTTCATTACTTGCCTTCTAGGAATTGAATACGCACGGTTGTATGCACGCATACGTTTACTTTGTATTTTAGTTGTGATAAAACTGCTTTCGTCCAACCCTAGAACAGAAATCTTTCGTGTCGTTCCTCCAAGTTGACACCATCAGAAAAATATTTCAATGCAACTTTCCATCAATAAAACTATAATTCAAGGTTTTGGTATATTTTTGTTACCAAAATCTGCAAAACTAAAATATATAAAACATTATCAGAAATATGAAAACAAACTAGAAATTTATTGGTGACATAGTGTTTTAAATTCAATAGTTATGGACAAGTTACAATTCATATCATTCATGGAGACTTTTGTCATGAAAAAATAAGACTCAATGATCAATTATAGTGTTGCCAGTCAAAATACGAACGCGCTGTATTAGATAGTTAGTTTATTGGTGATATTACTTTCAGATTTGGAGATCAACAGGAATGTTAGGGGTTTCACCTCGGAATCAAAGAAAGTCAGCTATAAACTTGTATATTTCAGTTTTTACATTTCCTTCGACAACTTTTTTAAAATAGTTCCTTGATGATGTGTTGGGTACACCCAATTAAAATGACAAGTGAAACTATATCTTCCGCTATTAGAACTACTAATAGTATATATTCATCAAGTACTGGTTCAATAATAAGAACATCATCATCTCTGGCCTGTTTTGTTGTGATAATTACTGCTAGTACTTTTCAATAAGCATATCAATTAGACTGACACCTATCAGAAAACAACTACTCCCCTAGCTAATACCACGCAAGGCGTTGGATTATATCCGACAGGTATCAGTGCAGGATTCTTCACTGAAGTTATTCCTGCATATGCTGTTGGCGATACAACTGCCGCGATAGATTTTCAATTATTGGAACACACTTGCAGACCGGTTTCGGGTAGTGTCTATCATCAACATAACGTCGATGATTTCCGATAATTGAAAATCGAATTCCTTCAGAGTATCATTTCTCGAACTAGGCTGAAGCGGACAACAAACAACAGGTTTGCCATCGCCCCATCTGTCTGTGAACGAGGTAACCAACCTCATATCCGCAATTTGCCCAATTCCTCGTATAAGGAAAGAAACGTTTTTACATATAGTCAGTGGGCATATTTGAAGACTGGCTACACCTGTCGGATATAAACTAGAGTTCTTCGAGGTATTAGCCAGTGGAGTAGTTGTTTTCTGATGGGTGTCAGTCCATTAATCTGCAGTGTAGGGAGTTGAGACTGGCCTGAACGAATTGTTCCTTTAGATGATTTGATTTATAGACAGTCTTCACGTATGCCCACTGACTATAAGTGAAAAGTTTATACGGCGTGTTTTTAATCAAGACTACAGGTTGATTTCGAATTATACTCTAAAATAGTCAAACACTGCGCGCGCTCTGTCCTCTATCTCGAAAATGGTTCAATATATAAAGAAATGTTCAAACAAAAGTTGTAGAGAATTTAATCCTCTACTCTATAATATTTATAATGAATACAAATAGCATAAAACCCATAGGAAACGATATATTTGCAATAAATATGTAAAAAATCGATTTTTTGACCTTCGACCTTGGGAATATCTGACTAATATTCCTGGACTAGATTTTGAGCTGAGCAGGCAGTGTCTAAGACAAAAAACTTGAAAAAGTCGATCGTCAAAGGGCTCAGATTTAGTAGTCTACTTCTTGAGTAATCTCTCTCCCAGCATAGTGAACGGAATATAGTTTTTTTTGCATAGCTGTTCTATATAGTTTTCGAATTTTATATCTTTTATACCAGTCGAACCATTATTCACCAACTCTATATATTTCTTATTAGTCAGTGGCATATGCTTGAAGACTGGCAGTAAACAAATCTAAAGAAATGAACTTTAAACGTTCAAGCCTGTCTCGAATATATCTACACAGTAGGTTGAATGAACTGACGTCTATTAGAAAACAACTACTTCCCTGGGTAATACCACGATGGGCGTTGGATTATATCCAGGCGTCAGTGCAGAAATCTTCACAGAAAATTTCCTGAATATGCAATGGGCAATACAACTGAAAGAGTCGACCTTCAATTTTGGAACGGTTAGAACTGTCAAAATATTAAACGAGTAATATATACAGTGTGACGAATATATCGGACCATGACAAAGTAGATTGCAAGTTTTCAAAGATATGAATTTTCCATTGAAGATGAAGCTCTTGCCGATTTGTGCACGACAAAAAATTCTGCAAAGTGGATTCTCAAATGTCTGAATGTTGATCTGAGGCATCGATTTCGATCTGTACTCGGATTGAAAAAGATGCAAACTTTTCGAGGTGTTGGGATGACCCAATGCCTAAGAAATTCCAGGTTCAAAATCTGCCGGAGAAGTTTTGCTCCATTTTTTCGGAGGAATCACCAGGTCTGATAATGGTTAATTTTGTTTTGAATATTGTTTGCTTCTATAGTAGGAAAATTATTTTTCAATACTTCCTCGTACTTAGTATTACTGACAAATAGCGACTTTTAAAGTTTCTGCTGCAACGACTAGATAATTGGACATAAACAAATCTTTAGGCAAATTTTTGGCCAAAATGTTTTCCTATCTTCATTTCAGTTTCAGTTTCGCCAATTCATGTCTTCAAGATGGTGAAATAGGTCGAAACCTTATTGATAAACGAAGGAAACACTTATTGTTTCAGAATATAACTGGAAAGTTTTGAATGCCACAGGGTGGAAACATTTTTGGTAATACAGAACCTTGCAAAAAAGTTATATTTGTTTTTACACCATATCGGTCTTGACCATTACCTCATATTCGATGAAGGACGCATCCACTCTCCACTCATGAAAACACTTTCCCTGCCAGCGCTCCATACAGGAAAGTGAAAAGTAAAACTGCGGCACGAGCGATGTTGAGAATCGTCAGCAGAAGATGCGGACGAAATAAACGACAACGTTACAGGAATAACCGTTGCAGATACAAGGAGAAGAAGGCTGTTCTTCGCCATCGTTAACAGTTGAGTCAAAGAAGTTGAGTCGGTACCTCCTGTGATATTGATGCTAAATCGATCGCGAAGAATAATCTACGATGGCTGATTTCGTGCCGCTGATCGGTGTTCTTTTGTTTTGTTGGTTGTGCTCCCATAACTGTGATTCTGTAAGTGAAAACGGCTGTATACAGGGGTTCAGATGAGATTTTTAGGATGTTTTTGTGTTTGTGACATCCATAAGTTTATCCTTGTTGACAACAGCATCTAATATGGAAATAATTCCGTTAAAGATGTTCTAAACGATATCCGCAGTGATTAAATTTGTTGAAGAATTAAATTAGGTTTTTTGATATGGGCATATAAAAAATTTCTTCTGTCTATTTCTTGGTATCAATAAATACAGTGTGTGTCACATCAAGCTTCCATTTGAAGTTTGAGATGAAAGAGATAATTTATCAAAGAATATTTCATATTAGCGGTCTAGATATCAATGCATTGAACTTTTCTGATATTTTCTCCAATGTACGGGGTACTCAGAAAAATGTAATAACAAAGTTAGGTTTTTTAAAATGGAATGACTATATTGCTTTCCAAATTTGGAATCATAACTTCTGAAGCATGCGATTCAGAAGTTATGAATCTTTCCATCTATCCCAATTTTCATCGGAAACTCACCTGAAACGTTTGTACAGTTATGTATATGTTTCAAAGAGATTGTTTTTTTGCTATTAAATAGTAGTTTGACCAAAATTTTTTTTCTAATACTGGGTGCATCAAAACTTAGAAACAGTTTTTTGATTTTTTTGAAATGGAATAATCTACAGAGACCATTATAACATAGAATGCATAGTACATAATTTTTTTGCAGAGAAGAAATCAAAACTCATTATTGTAATAATGGGATGTTAGTTAAACATATTGTAGACCCGTACTTTGCTTGTTGTCAAACTGTTTTATTTTGTCCTATGGTATTTCTATCGTTTTATTGTGTGAACTTGGTTTTTGTCTTACATTAATACTTTGAATTTAGGCATATATTTTACATTAATACAAATGTATTTGGATATGCGTAGTTAAAACATTTTTCAGATGTCAGTGATTTCTAGAATTTTGAAGGAGTTACCCATGTGATGTGTAAAATGACAAATAAAACTTTCTATGTTTTTTAGCACTTACAATTGTAACTAACGTTACTTGCAGTTTCATCCTATAAGGATATTTTCAAAATAATTCAATAAAGAGTTATCTGATTGATTCGGCCGTTACTTGATGAAGATCCATAGTAATTTCAAAAACTACACCTCATGATTTGATCTCCACAAACTTTATTTGGAAAATATATCACAACATATTTTCAAGTGATTCAAATCACTTGAAAAAGCTACTGTGCTAGCTACTGATCAGCTTTGTGTTTTGCTGCTTTAATCAAGTTCTGTTTTTTCAGCTTCGTTTTTATCAATTCGTCATGTGAATGATTAGAAACTGAATACTCTTCACCCATGGTGAACTTGCCCATTTAGTTTCATTCAATAGTATTTACAATTAGGATGAATTTTCCCCGTTTGGATATACTTTTCGTTAACGGAACAATTCTCCAATTTTCCAATAAACTCGTATCACTTGGCCTTATTTACTCAATTGAAATTCATCTCTTCCTCATTTATCCCACCCTGACAATTGCCCACTTTTCTCCTGTAATCTAAAGTGTTCCTAGAATAAGTGGTATAAATTATGCCAAAATTCACCTGGAACCGATCGGACGAAACTGTATTTTTTTGATCCGCCCAGTCAAATAGCTCCGGACGAAAGTGTATCTTTTAATTTATGCAAAAAAATATGACGAAACTGTAATTGCCCCGCCCATTTACTGATTCTTAGATTAATTTTCCAAAGGTGAACCATTTAGGATTTTTGGCGGAAATTATCTTCTAGAGGTAGTATCTAACCCTGCAACAAATATAATCGGTCTCTCCCTTGACTATAAACTCACTTGGAGCCCTCATATTGACAAAGTATGTAATAAACTTGGGAAACATTATTATTCGTTAAGATTTATGTCGAAACACTTTGGTAGGGAGTATTGTTAACTTTGTGTCAGTTAACTATCTTTCTCTTACCTAGACGAAGGTTTCATATAGGATCTTCCAACAGGGACTTCGGAACTTTGACCATTGATAACGGCCATCTTGTTGAAGCTATATCTGTCAAATTAGTTGTCATTTATTCAGTCTGTTTTACCAAATCACCATGGACGGATATAGAATTCAACAACACATGCAAATACTGAAATTGTTTTTTTAAAATGGGCGCTTCGCTCGTTTTACGGTCGCCACAATTGTCCTACCGAGAGGACTATTTGCAATATGGTGGATGAATTTGAGTTAATTGGTTCACTAAATGATCGACTAACACTCGTACTTCGACGAAACGTAAGATCCGCCAAAAACATCGCCGCTGTCTGTGAGAGTGTGCAGGAGAATCCGGATCAGTCGATTACCTGTCGTTCATAAGAACTCAGCTTTCGCAGACTACAACTTGGCAAATTTTGCGTCGTGACTTGGACCTGCACCCGTACAAAATTCAACTGACTCACGAACTGACCGGCGTCATCGGTCCATATTTTTGAGAACTTTGAGACTTCTTCTTGTGGGATTTTCTTGAGTCACATGTGTTAGGTTAGGTTGGGTGCGGACATTTGAACGATGTAATATTCCAAACATTGGATTTTCTCTGCACTAAGAAAACAGTGTAAAATAATGAGTAAAGAATGCTATGATAACTATATAAAAGGGATGGAAAATAACGTAGGTAGGAACATTAAGCATTTCTGGAACTTTGTTAACCAAAAGAGAAAACATCATGGCTTACCTGATACAATCTACTTAGGTGAACAATCATGTATAACAGGAAATGAAATTGCTAATGGCTTTGCAGTCTATAAACAAGACGCTGCGAATGCTCAATTATTAGAATTCAATTACGAGAAAACTATCTATATGAATTCCTGTAACTCCAGCTTGGAATCCATATTGAATAAATTATACCAATTAGATCCCAACAAAGGTCCGTGACCTGATGGAATAGCTCCTTAGTTATTGAAGAAATGTAGATATACCTTGGCAAAACCTTTGTTTCTACTATTTACTGCATCACTGAATTCAGGACAATTTCCACGTTCATGGAAATCTAGTTATATCACCCAAATATTCAAGTCAGGGGGATAAAGCAAATATACAAAATTATAGACCGATCACAATTTTAAGTGCAATCCCAAAATTATTAGAGAGTTTGATTTGTGATTAAATAAAAAATCCATTGAACCAAGTTATCATATAAGAGCAGAAATTTCAAGTGGATGTAATTCACACAGACTTTTCCAAGGAATTCGACACAGTTAATCGTACAGTATTGTTCAGGAAACTGAAAGCGATAGGGTTCTACGTGAATTTATTGAACTGGTTTGCCAGCTATCTTCGAGAAATCAATATGTTAAAGTCTTATGTACTATGTTAATATTTTGTTTATTCAGTGGACAGGTATACTGATAACTGCCTGGGTGTACATTGTATAAAGAGCAACAAGTCACACATGCTTTATGTAGGAAGGAACACGGACCTCTAGTTTTTTTCATCGATTTTTGTAGCCACTGTAATAATAAATTCAGCTATGTATTACAATACAAGTCCGTATTTCATACAAAAAAGTCGATGATGAAATGTAATTAACGAAATGTCGCATTGCAAATTGGTTGATATCAGGCTATAACAAATATAAAACATTATTGAAAGTTTTTCTGCTTTTGTTACATATCATTCGAAATGGAGGCGAAATGGCCAAAAAATCAAATTCGACAATTCTAGTTTTTGGCGAATAAATCATAAACAACCACTGATATTCTCAATCTAAAGAGAGATTATTTCAGCTTCCCAAAGTATGAAACTTTTGTCAAATTAAACTGACCTTGTAGGTCGTACCGGTTTCGAGAGAGCAATAGTGAGATCAGCCAAACCAACGGCCTGGTATAAATGATATTTCAAATTAGTAGTTAATGTAATCACCAATATAAACCAGTCATATATGCTTGATAGTTACTTGATCTGCCAATGATGAATTATTGAATGGCTAAAGCGTTAGTTATATCCATAATCAATAAAATAAAGTTTCAATTAAAAATACTTGATAGAATTATTTTACAATCATTCATAATTGATTCGTTAAGTTGTTGTTTATTTGTTAGTAATATAAATTTTAACTGGTCAATTATGAGTTGACAACTGTTAATTAGGTATTCTATTTATTTAATAATGGCATCGGATGACCGGTGAGTTGACAAATTTTAAATATATATTTCACTTAATATCTATATAGAAAACGAAAAGAACTGTCAAAATTTCACTTTAGTTTTGCATTTATTTCCAAAAAAGTTTGATTATGGTAATCATTTACGAAGTTACTATTTTTAAGTTGCACGTGAAAAAATATTGATCACTTCTTTCTTATAAGTCAGTGGGCTATGCTTGCAGACTTGCAGTAAACAAATCTATAAAGAAATTAATTTTAAACGTTCAAGCCAGTCTCGAATATACCTACACTGTAGGTTGAATGGACTGACGCCTATCAGAAAACAACTACTCCCTTGGCTAATATCACGAAGATCATATCCGACAGACGTCAGTGCAGGAATCTTCACAGAAAATGTTCTGCACTGATGAGTGGCTAATGAGCCTGAAACCGGTCTGCAAGTGTGCCCGTTCCAAAATTGAAGGTCGACTCTTTCAGTTGTATTGCCAATTGCCTATGCAGGAAATTTTCTGTGAAGATTCCTGCATTGACATCTGTCGGATATAATCCAACGCCCTTCGTGGTATTAGCCAGGGGAGTAGTTGTTTTCTGATAGGCGTCAGTCCATT